GAGAAGAGGAGACTGAGGGGTGACCTTATTAGTGTCTATAAATATATAAAGGGGGAGTGTCACGAGGATGGAGCCAGGCTCTACTCAGTGGCAAACAATGATAGGACAAGGGGTAATGGGTACAAACTGGAACACAAGAGGTTCCACTTAAACTTGAGAAGAAACTTCTTCTCAGTGAGGGTGACGGAACACTGGAACAGGCTGCCCAGGAGTCTCCTTCCCTGGAGACATTCAAAACCCGCCTGGACACATTCCTGTGTAACCTTATCTAGGTGTTCCTGCTCCGGCAGGGGATTGGACTAGATGATCTTTCGAGGTCCCTTCCAATCTCTAGCATACTGTGTGATACTGTGAAACTCACTATTCTGCTTTGTAAAGAGCCAGGCAATGGAAAATTCTTGTGAGCTGCTGGACTTCTTTTCTGATTTTCCAAAGCTTTACCAAAAAGGATGGGTTTGGCTCCCGGTTGAAAGATTTATTTTAAATAAAAAGAACAATGGTTCAGGCTGCCACCACCTTTTCTGGCTTAAGGAAAACCAGAGGTCATGTTCACACAGCTGCCAACATGTTTCATGGAGGTATGATATTGAAATACTTGGTGGTATAGGAGCTGCCAAACTGTTGTTGCCCAATTCACTTCCCCAGACTTACTCTGATGGGGCTGTCAGTAAGTGAACAGAAACTTTGAAAGAGGCTCACATAAACGCTGAGTATTTGGACCATTTTTCTTCCTACTATTTTGTACTCTCTTCCTTTTTGCGTGGGAAATTTAGGAGCTAAATTTCACACAAAGCACCTAAACCCTCCAGTCCCACTGTTCTGGCTTTATCACAGTGTAACTGGTTATAATTCCTGGTTTCACAGGGGAACGGCAGTGCACAGGAACAAGCCCACCACCACTTAGCAATTCAAAACCTGACGAAACACCACCACTGTGAATGAGAAAGAAGTCCCTAGAGACTGCCTAATGGGACGAGCCCCAGGTGATTTTACATCTGTGGAATGGACAGTGGGATTGAGTGTGCCCTCAGCAAGTTTGCTGATGACACCAAGCTGTGTGCTTAGGTTGATACGCTGGAGGGAAGGAATGCCATCCAGAGGGACCTTGACACGCTTGTGAGGTGGGCTGATGCCAACCTCATGAAGTTTAACCATGACAAGTGCAAGCTCCTACACCTGGGTCGGAGAGATCCCAGGCACAGCTACAGGTTGGGCAGAGAAGAGATTCAGAGCAGCCCAAGGAGAAGGACTTGGGGGTGTTGGTCAATGAGAAAATGAACATGAGCCGGCCTCAGTGTGCGCTTGCAGCCCAGAAAGCCAACCGTATCCTGGGCTGCATCAAAAGGAACATGACCAGCAGGTCGAAGGAGGTGATCCTGCCCCTCTACTCTGCTCTTGTGAGACCTCACCTGGAGTATTGTGTGCAGTTCTGGTGTCCTCAACATAAAAAGGACATGGAACTGTTGGAACAAGTCCAGAGGAGGGCCACGAGGATGATCAGGGGACTGGAGCACCTCCCGTATGAAGACAGGCTGAGAAAGTTGGGGCTGTTCAGCCTGGAGAAGAGAAGGCTGCGTGGAGACCTCATAGCAGCCTTCCAGTATCTGAAGGGGGGCTATAGGGATGCTGGGGAGGGACTCTTCATTAGGGGCTGTAGTGACAGGACAAGGGGTAATGGGTTAAAACTTAAACAGGGGAAGTTTAGATTGGATATAAGGAGGAAATTCTTTCCTGTTATGGTGGTGAGGCACTGGAATGGGTTGCCCAGGGAAGTTGTGAATGCTCCATCCCTGGTGGTGTTCAAGGCCAGGTTGGACAGAGCCTTGGGTGACACGGTTTAGTGTGAGGTGTCCCTGCCCATGGCAGGGGGGCTGGAACGAGATGATCTTAAGGTCCTTTCCAACCCTAACTGTTCTATGATTCTATGATCTATGAATGTCAGTGAGTCATCATAGTTTTATTTACACATCCAGTTCAGGTGTGTGCTGATCTGTGTTCTGTCCCACCACTTTCTGCCCAGCAGCTCCCAGAGACCAAAGAGCTGGAAGGAGGCTAAGGGCATGGCCAGAAGGTCCTTGGCCTTATCATACAGACGGCGGCTTTACAACCCACAACAGCCAATTACATCATTCCCAACCACAATTTTCCATGTAATTCTATGCAACATAGCTATCCACTAGATTTTACACCTTCAGTCTTGTGCTAGGGAAGGTTTTTTTTCTTCTCAGACACCGCAGTCTGTTGAGAAAACACTAGGTGCAAGACGTGTCATAGCAGAGCTCATTTGGATTGGCCAAAGCAATGTGGGAACTCTGTTGTTTTTAACTCACTGCAGGGTTCAGATCTCAGAGTTCACTGTGTCAGAGTTACCATTTAATCACACGGGCCCCCTCAAATCCATAAATAGGCTGTAATTTAATGTACTGCATCTGAATTACTGCTAGTGGATTGAGCAATACCCCTGGACACTGATACGCCGCACTGCAGCGTCCCTAAACCAACAAAGCCATTGGATTGTTCCTCTAATCTACTTTTCAGCAAACTGCTAGTGGCTTTAAAACAGATTTATTGAGAATGTTTGTCCAGTTACCTTAAGAGAACATGTCTGAATGCAAAGACCAGTCCTAAACCAACCTCTCACTGGATTCCTGCAACAGATGTAGGATTTACTTTACTTGAAGTGAACCCTTGTACAATTCCAGATGGAGCAAGAAATCCTCCAGAAGTCTCCAGGGAGACTTGTAAGTCTTCAGTACCTAAATGGGGATACAAGAAAGCTGGAAAGGGAATTTCGACAAACACAGATAGTGACAGGACAAGGGGGAAATGGCTTTAAGCTGAACGAGATTTACATTAGACATTAGGAAATAGTTCTTCACTATGAGGGTGCTGAGGTGCTGGCACAGGGTGCCCAGAGAAGTTGTGGCTGCCCCATCCCTGGCAGTGTTCAAGGCCAGGTTAGACGGGGCTTGGAGCAACCTGTTCTAGTGGAAGGTGTCTCTGCCCATGGCAGGGAGTTGGAACTGGATGAACTTTAAGGTTCCTTCCAACCCAAACCAGTCTGTGATTCTATGAAGTCCCAGTCCTCAGTATTCCATGGAAGCCCCATAACAAGAAATGTTTCGGTTGAAACTTTTCAGCCAAATAAAGATGGTGCAGAGAAGACAACAGCAGCTGGCAGCTCCACCTGTAGCAATGATGGGGATGCTTGACTGGGACACGCATGGCAGGATTTAGCTTGCTCGTGTGTGGTGTGTGAACTGGAACCACCTGCCTTGGGAAGAAACTTCTCCAGGTAAGAAATATCTCTGTGGTGCAGATCCAATCCAGAGAATCCAAGTGCAGGTTCCAGTTCACACCCTCCAGAGCTATGGGAGCATCCAGGCCTGTGCATGTACTATCCAGGCACCGAACATACAGAGTCTGGAAGAAGAACAGTGCGTTTTCTCTGCTGCCTGTATTTAAAAGCACCATTTTCTGAACATCAGGATGTGAATAAATATTTTCTTGTAGATGGATTGAAGCAGGAGACCAAGAGCCAATTTCTCTGAGCTCTGAAAATATGTGTTGTTCTTCCTTCAGACCATGGGCACTGGCGCTGGCTTCTCTTGCTTGGCTTTGGGGAGTGGGGCCATGGTTGACACCGATGGGCAAGGATACCCACCTCAAGGATACCTGACACAATTCCACCGTTTTCTTAGCACTTAGAAGGCATTTACAAAACTCCATTCAAACCATGATCTTGAAGTATTTGACTCAGATTTGATTTATGCTTTGAAAAATAGGGTGTAAAAAATTGCTTCTGTAACCCGATTTATCAGAAGTCAACGGCAAGTTTTAATGACTTGACCTGATAATGAGCACTTATAGAAAGCAAAAGGTACCATAGACACTGCGGAAGAAGTCTCTCAGCATGAGTTTTCTGGTAAAATGCCTGTAATAAATCATTCCATTTTGCCCACGAGCTGCTGTGTGCCGGGGAAAAATCCTATTTCCAAAACAGTTTTGAAGGCAACTGACAGTCGGAGTAATACGCACCCTTAAAAACCAGAGACGCACTTACACCTTGGGCTGCGAAGGTTCTCAGGAGCTGACATTTGGGCAACTGCCATTAATTTACTTGCCCATTGCTTCCCAGAGATTTTTGACAGCTCCTGTCTACAGAGGCTTCCACCCCCCCCCAGTCTTCTATGAATGTGTATTCTCACATCCAGCATTAGCAAAAGGGAATTTGGTTGAAAATGTCAGAATCCAACTTCATTGTTTACTAAAGAAAAATACATTCCTCTTTTTCCTTTGAAGCATCAAAGTGTGAAATCAATTTGGCTTCTGCATAAGGAACAATTCCGAATGTGCAAGTTTTCCTCTCAATTAGCACCCAGTAAAATTGCACATTTCAGGGACGGAAATCAACAGTGTCTCTTATTAGCATTAAGCTATAGTTCATATTAATAAACATTTGGCTCCGAGAAGATTATTATTGTGACCTGAGGAATTCACAGATGACAAGAGAGAAAGGGAGTGCAGAAGAGAAAGCAGCAGAAATGAAACATCTCATTAGAGAAGTAATCTTAAATACTACCTAACCCAGCTGACCTGCTACCTCTTCAGTTGTTACCAGCCAGTTAATTGCTCTTATGTGTCACAGACTCAGCTCTTGCAGAAAATTAAGGGAGGAGAAAATACCTCAGGGCTCTGAACAGCCTTTCCAAAGGCAAATTATTGCCTGTGCTGATAAAACAGCCCTCAGGTGGAAGGGGCTGAAATACACCTGCTGCTCTGAGCTGGGAAATCACAGGGACTTTGACAGAGCTGTCAGACAGTACCATGGAATGAACAGGCACAGGAAAACCCTGATTAAGGATCTACAAAGATGAAGATGATAAAGAGGAACCTATAGAAGAGATGAGCAGGAATTTTGCTTCTCTTCTAGACAGCCAAGGTAGCAAGCACCCTGCAGAACACAAGTACCTAACTAAACCACACATGCGTTTGCTCACATCCTCAGGCATGGCTTTATTCAACACCTCCCTTCAGAAACAGGCAAATGACCGGAGCTCCATTTCATTTTATCCCAGAGCGAGGATAAAATTAAAATAGGACAGAAAGGATTTGGTGCCAGGAGAACAGGAGCAGCTGTGAAATAGCGCAGACTGAGCAATTACTGTTCCAGCTGCATCGTTTCAGATCTCTCCAGCAGAAGGAAGCGGCTCCTGTACCAAAGCACAAGTAATTTCCAGTGGCAGTGCGTGGTTTGGTGAGCACATCCCAGCATCACCAGGTATGTGTCTTGTTCTGAACTGGGTTAGTTCAGAGCTGGCCAGACTCACCCACGCGATGCCTCAGGGCGAAATCCACTGCAGGGAACTACATGTGCTTGCCTAGAGCGTTTTTACACCAATCTTGAGAAGTGACCAGTGTGCACCTGCGACAAAGAAAGCAAACAGGGTGCTGGTGACACCAACATGGGTATCATCAGCAGAGATGATGATGTCATTGTCCCACTATACTCAACACTGGTCAGGCCAAACCTTGACTACTGTGTTCAGTTTTGGTCCCTGATACACAAAAAGATGTGGACAGCCTGGAGAGGGTCCAGAGAAGCCACAGAGAAAATCCAAGGATTGGGAAGCCATGTGAGGAAAGGCTGAGAGCTGGATTTGTTCAGCCTAGAGAAAAGAAGACTCAGGGAGCCCTCACCACCCTGTTCCAGTATTTAAAGGGCAGCTACAAGGCAGACAGAGTGTCTTTTTACAAGGAGTCACATGAAAAAGACAAGGGGTGATGGGCACAAGTTACACTTGGGGAGATTCCAACTGGACACAACAGGAAAAATTTTCACATTGAGAACAACCAGCCACTGGAATAATCTCCCTAGGGAAGTGCTGGACTCCCCAGTGTTGGACATTTCTAAGATTCAGCTGGACAAAGTGCTGGGCCATCTAGTCTAGATCATGCTTTGCTTAGAAAGGTCGGACCAGACGATCCCTGAGGTGCCTTCCAACTTGGGATTCTACAATTACATGATTCAGAGAACAGTTTTGGCTGGCAGCACCACTCACACAGGATCAATACTCAGGATAACGCAGAAGCAAGGCAGCGCTGTCACTGGTGCACATGTGAGGGGCTAGGACCATCCTTGTGCCAAAAGGTAGCACCTACAAGGATGATTCAAGGGGCCTTTGCCTTTTGGCACAGGAACATCCCCTGTTGCGCTTCAGTGCACTGCAGCATCCCATTCTTCCTTGCTTGGCTTATATTTAAACAGCAGTCAAGGGTTCTCAGATTTCCTCCCTCAAGTCTGCTGAAGGTAAATGCTTACCAAGTGCCTTGAAATATTTGGATGAGAAAGGGCTGTAGAGGAATATGGGATTCTTGAAGCACTTACGGCTTGATCACCTGGAATAAAACTACTCAAGCTCTCCTCACAGCCTCCCTGGAGTGAGGAAGAGAGTGGAATGTCACAGGACAGCAGCTCATTGCAGCAAGCACAGCAGACTTAAGTTCTACCACTGTTACTTTTCCTTCCTTTAAAATAAATCAAATCAAATCAAGGGTTGTATCCAAAATCATCTTTTATTGCCACTTACACAGATTTAAATATTTAACATTCAGATAAACAACTGTCTGTGTTCACATCACTCATTGTTAGTTACTTCCCCATAAACTCATAGAAACCTCCATTTCTAACCTCTGTAAGATTCCTTTTGGCAGATCCTGAAGAATTCAATTGATGTGGTGGCATCTCACAGCAAAAGAAACTCTTTTTAGGGGAACTCTGGTGTGTTTAATGAAAAAAATCACTACACAATGTGGGCTTTCACAATAAGTCACATTCTTTGCAAAATAATTTGAAGATTCCAAGACTTCTCTCTTTTATTCAAAAAATAAATATCTCCTTTCTGAATCAAAGCACTTCTTATGACAGTAAGTACAAAGAAGAAATGCACTTCTTTGGAAGTTCTGAAACAGACATCCAGGAGCTCATGGGGGCAACATTATCCGTAACAGTGATAAAAGCTGAAAGCTGATTTTATACAAATTTATAGCAGAGCCCAATTTCCTTTTACAATCTAGAGCTTCCAATGGATTTCAGAAAAACACCATTTTAAAAGTCTGAAAGGCACAAGAACTGACCATAAAACGTACCGGCACGCTCACAAATACGTTTTATGTTACATTCCTAAAGAGGCTCCACAGGACCCTATGAGAGAAAGAGTGAGAAGCTGACAAGTTCCTCTGTGAAGTACTAAGGGAGCGGCAGGGAGTTCCTTCTGGCTTTTGATAAAACAGTTAAAACCCCAAGGCTGGGAGTGTGAGGAGCTGCATCACTCTGTTGTGTTTGGGCGAGTGGCTACATACACGAACACAACGATCAGCAGTACTACAATCGCCAGCGTGGGCAGCACGACGGTGGTGATCTGTTGCCGGGCCTCCTGCATTGCCTGTTTCCTCTCCTTTTTATCTTTGGAGGTCTCTTTTTTGGGTTTTCCTCTCAGCTGCCTCATCCTCCTCTTAGGGTCTTTTGTTCGTTGAAATGGGAGAGAGAAGGGAGTTGCACAGCAGGAAACAGTCCACAGTCTTTTGAAACAAGAGGTTGAAGAATTCCTACTCCTTCAAGGGGCTGGCTGCACAAGAAACTGCAAGAGAAGGAAAGAAAACAATTCTTTTGAACAAGATCTACATGCATTCCAGTTACGTTCCACAAAGACGCTCCGAGGGCTGGAGCACCTCTGTTATGCAGACAGGCTGAGAGAGCTGCAGAAAGCTCCAGGGAGGCCTCAGAGCAGCTTCCAGTGCCTAAAGCAGCCAACATGAAATCTGGAGAGGGACTTTTTACAAGGGTGTGTAGGGACAGGACAAGGGGAATGGCTTTAAACTGAGAGAAGGGAGATTTACATTACATTTTAGGAGGAAATTCTTCATTATGAGGGTGCTGAGGCGCTGGCACAGGGTGCCCAGAGAAGCTGTGGCTGCCCCATCCCTGGCAGTGTTCAAGGCCAGGTTGGACAGGGCTTGGAGCAACCTGCTCTAGTAGAAGGTGTCCCTGCCCATGGCAAGGGGATGGAACTGGATGAGCTTTAAGGTTCCTTCCAACCCAAACCAGTCTGGGATTCTATTATTTATTAAAGCCATTTGCAGCTCCACTTGGTATATCTTCTAAAGAATTTCTTCCTAATATCTAATCTAAATCTACCGTCTGGAAAAGAAGAAACAATGCCAGCTGCAGTGTTGAACTCAAAACACAGAACAGATTTAGAGAGACCAGAAGTGGTCAGTGAACTCCATAACGGGGAGGTAAGTGGGAACTGGATGCAGTAACTACACACACCATCCATTCCATCTTTCAGTCAAATGGGACCATTTCATTTCTAAACTTTCATAACTGTTTCTTCTCAGCAAATCCTCAATTCTCACCAATTCAGGGCAGAGTCTTTTTGGTATTCCACCTTCTGCGAGCTGTGGGCTTTTGGTTTGGTTTTGCCGTTTTATCACTTCTAATAGCTAACTCTTGAATGTCCGCAGGGGCAAAAGAAATCTCTGTTTTACCCCTTCCCTTTCCATGCCCTCTCCTCCTGCTTGGTCATGAGCTTTATTTTCAAACTCTAGAAAACAACTACTGCGCAAAACTCAAGTTTGATGTTTGCCCTTTGGGTGATCAGACAACCAGAGCATTTCAGGCTGCAGCGTTTTCCTAATGCTTTCTGTCTCCACTGTTAATGTACGTCGGGGGGGTTGTATTCAGATTTCTCACAAGACCCAAGAAGTGATGGACAGTAAAAGCCTTTGGAACTTCTGTGTGCCACAGTAATGAACAGGGTTGCCATGAAAACTAACCTCTCCAACAATAAATGTATGCCTTGCTCCACACAGCATCACTTGCTACCCAGACATTAAAAACATCAGCGTGGTTTTTTAAGTCTCTTTTGAATTAATATTTCATTCTGAAGCAAAATTATACCAAGTTAATTACATACACTAGCTAACATCTGACAGCTTAGAAGAGAAAGCCTTCCTGCAAATGTCAGCACCACTTGAGCTGCGAGCTGATGCTCTCCAGTTTGGGAATCTGGCATCAATCTCCAAGTACATTTCCAGTAGACTGGGTTACTTGGCTTTGCTACTGGCAGAGAAGGACTTGCACAGAAACTGGACCCTAGTTTTCAGAGAGATGAGCCTTAGGGTTCATTAACTGAACCATGAAATGGAAGCAGTGAATCTCTGCAAGCTGCTGCCAGGCTCCTGCTGCCGGTATGAGCACAGAGGCTCCTGCCAGGATTAGACAATCACTGCAAGAGACAGCGCTTCCACACAGGAAAGGTCTGGGATGTTGTACATGCTGCTGTGTTCATGTGGGTATGAAACAGCACTTAAAATCCGGCGCTCAGTTACACAAGACGAAATCCTACAGCCCATGTTGTGCAGGCAGAGTAAGAGTGCCACAGGTATTCCCTTCTGCTGCCAAGGCTCTTACCGGCCACGTATGGACTCCACTGGAAGGCAAGTAACTACTGATAGGGGAAAGGAAGAAACAGATCCATGAAGTACAGCAGGCCAGAGCGAGGGTTACACAGGGTCTCAGTCCCTGTGGTGTGCATGGCCTGTGAGAATAAATTAATCTCATGTTACTGAGCTACATCCTCCTTCAGCCAGCGATCACCCTGCCTGTGCCTGAGGCTGAATCACGTGAAGAGAGAAGGAAATACTATAGCACTGGGATGGGTGTCATTAGGCTAGTTAGCAATGCCCATTTAAAACATCTCCGAGCAAGCTGGTTTCAGAAGGGCAATAAGAAAGTGATCTCCTGCAGGTCCTTCAATGTTGTGCACACTCTAACCTTCGTGACCAGCCAACTCACACTGCAGGAGAAGTGGAAACTCACCTTTGCTCCTCAAACACAAGCTTCCCACTCCCAGTCTCCCAGAACAGGAGAGGGCTCATTGCCGCAGACCGCACACATCTCACTAAGACTGATTCCCATTTCTCTTAACGGCTCAGCCTGGGCCAAGCATCTGCCAAGGCTGGAAATTATCAAACTAGGAAAATCAGCAACTCGCTTCACTGGGATATTTGTAGGACTAGCAACAGAAGAGTTTAAGAGGCTCCAGCAGAAGTGGGGTATCTGTAGTCCACAACAGCATGACAGGAGCCTGGCACTAACCAGAGACTGGAACTTCA